ATATATATATATATATATATTATAGCTTCGTGGTAACGTGTCATGTGAACATCGATTTACGTTTTTTTTTGTTGGTTTGCTCTCTTGGTTTTTTTTCGTAGATATTTCAATTTTATTATTTTAAATTTTGCATCCAATCTATTAGCCATTAGGTATATGTTTTTCGTTTAGCTTTGATTTGTAATTTCCGGTTTCCTTTGGTTTAGTTTTCTGGTTTAGCAATTTCTCTGGTTTACTTTTTTTTATCCAGTTTTCTTTTCATTTTGAATTCAATAGAAATTTTGTTTCAATTTTTTTTTCTCAACATATTCAATATCTTCGATTTGAATCTGCAATACAACGGTGATTAAACATGGTTTCTTAAACTAATAACCCTTAAATTATAACTCATGGTGTTATTATAATGATCATATATAATAATAATTCCATAAATTTTGCTCTATTCCAATTTCGATCCGAGTATTTACATAATTATTCTTACAATAATTATCAGTAAAATATTATTGTATCACTTACTTAGCAGATATAACTATACAACCATTAGGTCAATGATATTTTGTATTATAGACTTAAAATTGAAAAAACGAAAATTGTAATGTATGAAAAATATGTTGTATTTTTCTTTCCTAACGTATTATAATATTCTTGCCCACTACACTACCTGTCTCTAGATTTGCCAATTTGTCGCCAATTACAGATTGATGCGTTATTTACATGAAACCATTATTCCTTTAATTATTTATTCCATTTATATATATATATATATAGTGTACCCCTATTGATTAATTAATTAATTAGAAAATCTCATATCAATTCACATGGTATGATTAAAAATAAATGCAAGAATAACAGCTTGTCGATCCATTGGGTGATTAATTCCTCACATGGTATTAGCATGTGTTCTATTGCATAGTGGCATCAACTAATTCTCTCGTCCTAATACCTGATCCCTTATTCATTTCCTTCTATATTTCTAAAACAATTTAAACCCTAAAATTAAAATATACATCCAAATTCAAATCCTAAATCTTCAATTTAGATTTAGATATAACGATTAAAGAAAGTGCATTTAAAAAAATAGATTTAAAATTCCAAAAAATTAATGGAATCCAAAAAAAAAATGTTTATGCAGAACATTTTTAAATTCTAGAAAATTAAAGAAATTCCATATTTTGTTGTATTAATTGTTGCTAAATTCAAATGTTTCAACTTGAGAAGCCCATCTGTTTCGGCAGAGTATCCGATCATATCTTCAACTTACTTAGGACCCTTCACAAAGATGTATAAATCCGTCACCTCCCATATATATATATATATTACAAAATATGGAATTAATTTAGGTGTTTTCGATAATTTAGGACGAATTATTACAAATTAGACAATGCGTAGTCTCTCGATAACTTTTTTTTTTTTATAATCCGGAAGTTCACCGTGCATTTGGTCCGACTACATCTCCCAAAGGATCGAGGAAACCCATGTGAATATTCTTCCCCACGTTTAGGTTTGAACCCAAGATGAGAATATGGTTTGCATGTTCTCTTACTACTAAACCACCCAAGCTTGGGTTGTTTTCGATAACTTATGTACTGAGAGTGTTAGTCATTGGAGCTGCATGTGCTTCGACATGGATCATGATGACAAGCCAAGAGACTGCTCATGTCTATGGATTCTCCTTTCCTGCTAAATACTCTCCTGCTCTCCCGCTTCCAAGTAAATCATTTTCTTACATACATACGTACACGTAACGTACGTACGTACGTGCATGCATGCATGCAAGTGCATAATGTTTTTGTTGCGTTCAATTATAATGGATGGACAGGTATTTGGCGTATGTGAATATATATCGGTCGGTGTGGCGACTTTAGTTTCGCTAATGTGCGCATGCCGTGCACGCAAAGGAAGATGCGCCTTTGCACTCTTCCTCTACGATTTGGTGATTAATTTTCTTCTCTCCTTTTGGATCGATCCCTTTAGATATTATTTCATGAGAAACAGTTGGGGCATAAGGCCAACTATTTCCGTGTATATGTGATCATAAGTATGTATTTGCGTGTGTAATGACTGCATGCAGTGCCTGACGGCGGAGGGATACGTCGGAAAGTATGGCAACTCGTACGCCGGTTGGATTCCGGTCTGCAACTTCGTCCAGAGCTTCTGTCGACGTGTCGTCATCTCAGTTGTTCTCTCCTTCGTCGCCTCTCTTCTCCTGCTCATCCTCTCCGTTTTGTCCGCTTGTGCATCTCGACATGTCTGAATTCTGACAATCCTTCTCGGGATCAGATCTTGATCTTTACTTTGTTTTGAACAATCAAATTTAATTGGGTTTAAAGAGATTGAAACGTTCATAAGCTTGCGGGAAATCGGAGTTAGTTTCTTTCACTGTAAGATATGGAAATGAATTTATATATATATAAAAAAAAAAAAAGAGAGATGATGAAAATGAATTTGATTTATGTTTGCAACATTGTTCGGTCCAGTTTTTATGCCTGACAGATATTGCAGAAACATTATGTTATTTTCTTGTCATTAATGTTGGGCCTTCATTAATTCACCGTTGGGCTTTTCCGAGCTATGACGTGTCATCATCCACGTGGCGGATTTGTGGTTACTACTACGAAACGTCGTCGTTTCAATGTCTCTAAAAAGATTACACCTTATCCATTTCAGTCTAAGCAGTTGAATTACTCTCTCTCTCTCTCACTGTGTTCTTTGAGCTCTGCTTCAATGGCGTCTCTCTCAGCCACTTGTCTCACCTTCAAAGCTTCATCGATGCAACCCGACAGGATCTCCAAGGTGGTGTAGTTTTGAATGCTTGATTCAATGTGTGTTTGCGTGACAGTGAAATGCATTTTAAATGTATATAACAGCTTCATCATCTATAAATTATAATGCATATATCATTCATTATAATATGTGTGAGTCCTTATATATAAAAATAAAATTTGCTAAGATATGAGACATTTGGTTCTATCAGGTGTTGGAGAAAACCTTGATATTTCGGTCCGTCTCCTTTGGCTTCACAAAGGGTTGTTGTTTCCCGTCTTCGAAGAATCTCCGTCTTCAAGTCTCTTCCGCTGTAACAACATCCCTTTCTCAAACGTACTTTTGTAGTTATATCAAATATAATGTATGAAAACTTTGGGATAAAGTTCCTCATTTAGAATTTTTCACCAAAAAAAACAAATGCAGGCAAAGGCGGAGACGGTGCAGAGAGTGTGTGATATCGTAAGGGAGCAACTCGCTTTGCCCGCTGACTCCCAGCTCACTCCCGAATCCAAATTCTCAGCCCTTGGCGCTGATTCCCTTGACACTGTACGTACGTATGTATGTATGTATGTATTATAACTTCAGTTGTGACATTTCAGTCCTAGGAAACATTTCAGTCCGGTTTGTGGGAGGAAACTTTGAGACTGATTTTGGTTTCGGTCCAAATAACCGAATAAACCGCCGGTTCTTGTGTTTTGCAGGTGGAGATAGTGATGACTTTGGAGGAACAGTTTGAGATAAGTGTGGATGAGTCTGATGCTCAGGACATTACTACGATCCAAGAAGCCGCTGATTTGATAGAGCAGTTGGCCGAGAAGAAACCCGAAGCAAGCTGATCAATCAATCACCGGTTTAGCCAAACCGGGAAATTGAACCGACTGATTCTAGTATTCAATGATGATGATTCTCTGTGAGACAATACATGGAATCGCTTGGATCATAGCAATCCCTTTCTTTGCATAATTTCGAATGCCAAAACCATGAAATCACCTTGTGAAAATTAAAATTAAAAAGAAAGAGAAAAAGCAAAGCCAGAGTACTCTGTCTGTCTGTACATATTATTACCGTATTAGAAAGCATTACACAACGGGAAGTGGGTCTTCCTCTTCCAAAGCCTTGGGAGCTCCGCTGCTTCCGTTAAGCACCGTTACGTTGCCGTCAGAGTCCACGTCTACGATAACGGAGTCTCCCTCCTTGATCTCTCTCGACAGCATCTTCTCCGCCATGCTGTCCTCGAGAAGCCGCATTATCGCTCTCCGCAACGGCCTCGCTCCGTAGCTCGGGTTGTACCCTTCATCGACGACTCTCTCTCGGAACCTCTCCGTGACTTGGAGCTCGATCTCTTTCTTCTTCAATCTCTCGAACACTTCTTTGAGCATTATGTCGGCTATTTCCTTCACTTCGAGCTTCGTGAGTTGTCTGAACACGATCATCTCGTCTAGCCTGTTCAAAAACTCGGGCCTGAAGTATTGCTTCAGCTCTTCGGTCACGAGGCTCTTGATCCTGTTGTAGCTGCTGTCTTTCTCGTCGCTCTCTAGGTCAAACCCAATTCGCCTTCCTCCTTTCTCGATCACGCTGCTTCCGACGTTTGATGTCATGATTAGGAGCGTATTCTTGAAATCGACCGTTCTTCCTTTGCTGTCGGTTAATCTCCCGTCTTCGAGGATTTGAAGCATCATGTTGAAGACGTCGGGGTGAGCTTTCTCGATCTCGTCGAAGAGGACAACTGTGTAGGGACGGCGCCTGACTGCTTCAGTTAACTGACCGCCTTCCGTGTAACCGACGTATCCTGGAGGTGAACCGATGAGTTTCGAGACGGTGTGCCTTTCCATGAACTCGCTCATGTCAAGACGGATCATGGCTTCTTCGGATCCGAAGTAGTACGCAGCCAAAGCTTTTGCAAGCTCGGATTTTCCAACACCCGTTGGACCTGAAAAGATGAAACTGGCTATTGGGTGGTTAGGGTTCTTGAGTCCGACACGTGCACGGCGGATGGCTCGGCTAATAGCTTTGACGGCTTCATCTTGGCCGATGACACGTGTGTGGAGGGTCTCTTCCATCTTGAGAAGGCGATCAGATTCGTCGGTCGAAACTTTCTCCACGGGAATACCCGTCCACGAAGAGACAATGTGTTGAATGTCAGATTCAGTCACGAAGGGACCTCCATCTCCTGTCTCGCTCTCAGCTTTGCTCATCTCCTTGCCTTTGGCTTGGATAGCGGATATCTCGGCTCTTAGTTCGATTTCCCGATCACGAAGTGTCCCAGCCTACTCGAAAATTTACATCTCATAAGACATAAATAAAGTTGAAGACACGAAAACGAAAGCTTCGGCTAATCCACAACAGAAAATGGTATGTACCTTCTCAAAGTCCTGCCCACGAACAGCTTCATTCTTCTCCTTCGTGATCTGCCTGAGCTCCTTTTCGAGCTCTTTGGCTTCCTCTGGAACCTGCAGAAACGAGTAAATCAATGATAATGTCCATGTCTACATTGCAGGAAGACAGCCCGGACAGAGCTCCATACCTGTGCATGACGAAGTCGAACCCGAGAACCAGCCTCATCGATCAAGTCGATCGCTTTATCGGGCAGGAAACGATCACTGGAATCAAGGAAAAACCACAGTCAAGAAACGATTAGGAACCCTAGGATTAAACCTCATCAGGAATAAACCATATGCAGGTTGTCATATAGAGATAACCCACCTTATGTACTGGTAGGACAAGTGTGCAGCTGCGACTAAAGCCTCATCTGTGTAACGAAGCTTGTGATGGATTTCGTATCGTTCCCGTAGACCGTTTAGAATTTGGATAGTTTCATCTACCGAAGGTTCAGGAACTTTCACCGGCTGGAATCTTCTTTCCAAGGCAGGGTCTTTCTCGATGTGCTTTCTGTATTCGTCTAATGTTGTCGCTCCAATACACTGGAGAGAGAGGAGAAATATTATTCAACCGATCAAAGCAATAGAATCGACGGTTTTTCAAGGCATCGTTATGAAATGGAACAGTTACCTGTAATTCACCTCTTGCAAGAGCTGGCTTTAGAATGTTAGCAGCATCAATTGCACCTTCTGCTGCTCCAGCTCCGATCAAGGTGTGCACTTCATCAATAAACAAGATTATCTCATCACTCTGCTTTATCTCCTCCATAAGCTTTTTCAATCTCTCTTCAAACTCTCCACGATATTTCGTTCCCGCTACAAGAAGACCCATGTCGAGAGTGATAACCTGAATTAACAGAAAAGGGAAACACAAGAGCATCAGATCAACATTGTTTATGAAGGATGTTCAACATTGTAACAGGGAAACCATCTAACTTGCCAAGTAGATTATACCCATTGCAGTAATGGAGCATATAAAACATGGGTCCTATTCATGTAATAACAGATAACTGGAAGAGTAACTATCTGTATGCAAAGAGTGCATACAGAGTTGTCATGGACCAGTTTACAATCCCAGAGAGTTCAAAGTAAATGAGAACAGCCTAAGTTCAACCGAGTCTAATGTTCAGTTCCAAATCCTTATTCGATTATGTTAAAAAATTCTTGTCCTTTCTACAAGTCTAGGGAAAAGAGCAAGTATCATGTATACCTTCTTCCCCTCAATGGTTTCAGGAACATCCCCACTCGCAATGCGCTGTGCAAGTCCTTCTGCAATAGCTGTTTTTCCAACACCAGGTTCTCCAATAAGACATGGGTTGTTCTTGGTTCTCCTGCCAAGGATTTGTACCACTCGTTCTATCTGTGGCTGTCTTCCCACAACTGGGTCCAATTTACCCTAAAAGCAAAACAACATAAGCACGAGTTCAAAAGGATATTGTTCTGGTAACATTGTCTATCAACAGATAATTACCTCCTCTGCTAGTTTCGTCAAGTTTGTTCCGTACTCTTCAAGAGTTGGCATCTTATTGCTGTTGCTTCCTCCCCCAACATTGGCAGTGACCTCATTGTTCTCACCAACCATGCGTATAACCTGTTTCATTCAATTCACTCTAGTTATTGATCTTGTCTGTAAAATCAAATCTAAAAATTGGTACTTGTAATCGGAAAGTAAGTATATCAACTTATCAAGTTGCCAGATAAGATTTATACTCCACCTGAGTTCGGATATTGCTAGGATCAGCACCTAAGTTCTCAAGGACACGAGCTGCAACACCTTCGCCCTCACGTAGCAACCCAAGAAGAAGGTGCTCAGATCCAATGTAATTATGACCTGATGTTTCCAAGGAAGGAGTAGGTAACACAAGGAAAGAGATGCTCAACAAAAGACGAACATAAAGATTCTAGATACAGAGGAGTAAATGAAAATAACTTACAGAATACAGGAGACTTACCAAGTTGGCGGGCTTCTTCGAGCGAGAGTTCAAGAACACGCTTTGCACGAGGAGTAAATGGGATCTCAACAGCAACAAATCCACTACCCCTTCCAATAATCTTCTCTACCTCCACCCTTGCATCTTTTAGATTGATCCCCATTGATTTCAGAACTTTAGCAGCAATTCCAGTACCCTCACCAATGAGACCCAACAAAATTTGTTCAGTGCCCACAAAATTGTGGCCCAGTCTTCTAGCTTCCTCTTGTGCAAGCATAATAACTTTGATAGCTTTTTCAGTAAACCTTTCAAACATGGCTTTCGGCATACAGCGGCTGGGCTTTCCTCTTCGGGAACTCATTGTAAGCCGCACCTTAGAATGGAAATCTTGACGGGATCTTCCAAGCATATCTAACACATTCTGACCCCTTAAGCCCAAGAACCCTTGTATTCTCAATCCAGGTGCCTGAGGCTGACTAGACATCATCCTTGCCGACCTTCTTGATCTTCCAGATTCGCGTGATGGTATATTCCTCTGGTAGCAAGCTAAAGATGGGGCAGCAGATTCAGCCAGCACCCTTGTAGACATAGCCATGATGTCCTGTAATTTGAAGAACGATTTGAGTCATTACACTAACAGAGCATAAGCCATCACTCCACAAGAAAAAAGAAATATCAGCCCTAAACTGATCAAACAATAGTTTAAAAGCATAAAAACCCTAAACTGTTTTATGCAAAGAAGCACACAAGTTGAAGGGAGTCATCTCACCCGGAAATTCAACAGAAATTTGAACCCACCAGGGAATTCAATAGAAATAACATATTGAAAAGCAACGTGAACAGATAAATCAAAGGACAGAACTAACATAAGCCAATAATACAACTACCCACCAAAAAAGTTCGAAGCTAACGAATCATTTAGAGAATCGAGGGTACCGAACATTTGAATTCCGACTAAATGAAAATCAATGAGTAAGGTTTGCTTAGTGGTACTTGGAGAAACGAAGTCCAGAGTTAAATTTCACTCGAAGCTGCTAGATAATAGCCAGTAAACTTCAGCTCCGTCATACTGATAGTCACTTGCATAACCAGAAAAACCAGAACTTACGGGTTACAAAATCGCTATACTTTTGCTACAATATCGTAGAAGAAGAAAAAACTTATGGAACACTGGCAAGCCAAAATCATATATGGACAAACCGAGTCAAACACACAAGAAACCTAGGAGAATTTTCTGAGAACTCGCATTCAAAAGGCTAAGCGAAACAAGAAAAGCCAATAATCCGATCCGTAATCCTAAATCAAAACGAATTCCAGCTAAAACACACCAAACAAATGAAAATATAACCCTAGCTCCTACAAGCACCATGAACGGAACTCCCAAAATTCAGTTAACATCATAACAGACAATCGAAACAATTTATCTCAAGATAATTTCACACAAAAATCGAGCAAAAACCAGCCTCACCTGAATCGACGGAGACACAGCACTGGATCAAAAACAAGGATGAAGAAGAACAGAGACAGACAGACACAGAGAGAGAGGGAGAGAGAAAACAGATGGATATGGTGAGCTTCTAATCTCGGCCCCTATCTTTCTTGGAGTTTGATTGATTCTCGTTCATTTTGTAGATGCTTCTCATACGGTGCACCGCCACGCACCCTAACATTACTTCCAAGCCTTCTCTAAAGAAAATATCATGCAATAACCGACTTAATTATCGGTTCGGTTTATGTAATATACCGGACAAAAACCGACCAAACCATCGTACCAACCTAATGAATTTCATGAATCATCTGAAAAATAAGAATAAATATTATTCAACTTACACCCCGACGAGGAGTCGCGGACAATTAACGGGAAAGAATTCCATCAATACATGAAAATGTAATGTATTAGCAAGACAAATATGTGTTTAATCACGTTTAATACATAAATTACTTTAAATAATTAACTTTATAAAATCTTTGACATATTTAAGAGATGAACAATCGTCATTACATCTGTAATAGAGATATTTTAACATTAATTATTTTGTTCTGATTATTATAGTTTATAATATACTTGAGGTACTGGAGTAAAATTAATAATTAAACGGTTAAGAGCACACCATATTTCATAATTAAAATTAAAATTTACACAGAATTATAATTTTATATATTTTTCGCCCTCTTTCCTAAAAAATTGAACCGGGGAAAAAGTGAGTTTTGGTTTTCCCTAAAAGAACTAAACCGTAATTCAAATCCGGTAAGATAGTGATCAACAAAAACCAACCAGCTACCGGTGGGGGCACTCACCACCGCCCGATTGGTCAATGGTTGGAGAGCTTGTGATCGTGACACGTGGATTACATGAGGTCTGTAGACCAAAATTACTGTTCTACCCGTACTTATATCTTTATGTTCTGGTCCCTCACCGACGAATGTATCTGGACACAATGGTCAATACGTCAACGTAGAGCTGCCGTGTACGATATCAATTTCCGAATTTCTTTTTTTTTTTTAATGTGGTTTTCTGAGTCCACACGTACCAACACGTGTAATAAATGGAACAGTTGCACTTTGTTCGGTCCTTAAATATCTAGAATTCAATATTTTAATTTTATTACCCCATTAAATAGAATATTTATCATATGGTTATGGTCAATAACCAGACAACATAATTAGTAAACCACTTGTAAAGACCAAAAAATATATACGTATATATCCAAATATCGGTAGGAATGTGAAAGTGTGAAACCAATACACAACGCATTCAAACCCAATATTTACATAAATTCATATACATCATGCTATTATATATATATATATATATGTGAGGGGTTGACTTGATAACCATGTTGAGTAAAGTTTACATTTCATTTAAAAAATAACATGTCGGACGAATTGGTATCAATAAATTGAAATTGTTTTGGAGTTTGGCATGGAATGGACTAGAAACAGGCCTGCTGAGATCACAAAATAAGAATCTTAAGCCCAAATTATACTGAAATTACGCCCAATAAGATTTCACGATTTGGAGTTTTTTTTCAATTTTTAGAAAAAAAATATATCGATTGATATTTATATTGCTCTAAATAGAATTTGAATCCTATTTTGTTCCGTTTTCAGCATTTAGACTCGGTTCTTTCATATTTCAGTTAATTGTATTTTTAAATACCTTTAATGAAAATTTAAAGGACAAATATACTTTCATAAAAGAGCAAACGATGCCGTTTTGTTGAGCGTTTCGAAACGGTGCGTTTTGAGATTTGTTTTCCCGCGAGTTTTTCTCCCCTCTGTTGTCGGACAGACCAACAGCTGGAAAACCTAGCTTTCGGCTTCGCCATGGACGGAGGAGGAGCAGGAGACAAAAGCGATCTTGAGCGAGATCGAGAAGCGGAAGAAACGGAAGACGACGCCATGGACGATCTTCTTCGAGACCGATTCAGACTCACCGCCATCGCTATCGCCGAAGCCGAATGTTAGTCTCTCTCTCTCACACATACAATCTGAGTTGATTTCCATTATATCCAGCGAATCAATGACCATACATCGTCAGATTTCCAGTTAGGGTATGTGTTGGTCCGGATTTTGGGAATCCTCGGAGGAAATTCTGTGAAGTTTCCTATTGCTTTTTCCATTTCCGTTTCATGAAATAATCTTGAGAATAGATAAATTACCACATGGATTGAGATGAGTGCTGATTCGGGTTTTCCAGTCCGACACACTTTGGGTTGGTCTGAATATAGTTGACTTTCAGATTCTCGATGAATGTTTTACTGATTTTCCATCTCGACAGCATCAACAAAAGACATGGTTGGAGTTTGAATTAGTTTTATAGTTTTGTAGATCTTATACTATTCGTTATCCATCTCTATCGAATTAATGAATGGACTAACTAATCATGCTTTCTTGATTCCTTATCCATCTTCGAAAAATCCATGATTAAGTACAGTACTTTGATTTTCATTTCCGGACTTAAACTTCATAGAGATGAACTCGGCTCTAGTGTTTCTGGTCGATCAGTTTATTTCCATTTTATTTGACCAGCGAAGAAAAATGGAATGGACGTAGCAGGACCTGTTGCCGCTTGCATGGCAGACTTGGCTTTCAAATATGCAGGTGACCAAATCGTTTGATGCCATTTCCTTCCCCTAACTGCTATCATGACTGTACATCTCTCCGTCCCTTTCTTTTTGCCCCGACTGGGAGTCTTTTAGTTCATCGAATTTTCTATTTTTTGTATAACTTATCGCTTTTGGTTGGTGATTTAGCTATGTTGACTGTAGTCGCTGTATCATCTCATCTTCTTAGGTTCCTCTTTGTTTGAACTATAAAAATGCAAAAGTCGAGCTATAAAACGGATGATGCTGATTTGGAAGACAACATGGCTGAGGCTGGATTTTCTTGAGCAAGGGTGTGTTTTATGTTGATCGTCAAAATCTTATAAGAGAAATTAAAGTAAAGTTAGGCTGTTAAAGATATTTGAAAGATACAAATCCCTTGAAATCTTGATTAATGTATGTATGAAATGTTCTCACCTCACATGATTAGAAAGAATTAGGAGTGTATGTGATTAATGTGCAGAATGGACAGAAATTGTTTCTTGATCATTGTACGTATCAATTTGTTTCAGTGAACAAGAAAGAAGGCCATATGTGATTCTTACCGTGTTAGCAGAATTGACTGCACACTGATAATTAACAAAATCTTTCTTTTTATGAGAAGCAGAAAATCTTGCAAAGGACCTTGAACTTTTTGCTCATCATGCTGGCCGCAAAACCGTGAACATGGACGATGTTATTCTCTCTGGTAAGTTACATTAAAGCCGAAGTTTCCTCAAAGTTTATATTGTTCTTATCAATTCCTCTTACTTCCCATTCTATTTTCTTTCGAGAACTTGTTGGTAAAGGTACTAGATAGCTTCTAGCATTGCCGCCTCTAGAACTATTTTCTTAGATGCATAGGGAAAGTGTTTTTCTTTTGGACATCACAGTTTATTCCTTAAGAGCATAGTTGTATTAGAAGATATTTTCTCACGGATTCTCTGTTAGAGCTAGTTTTTGGGTGCTGGTCTTTATAGTTGCTAGTTTCCTCTTCTATACATATAAAGTTGACCCGGTAGACAGCTTCTGTATATAATGCAGTGAAAGTTCTCAGTCTCTGTTTCCTCACTCTCTCTTCCTTCCATTTTGCTCTCTGCTTTTGAAATGGTAAAAGAGAAGATTCTTCCGCTGCATTTCCGGTCCTTTGAATCATGTTGTTACCCAATCTCAATACAGCTGAAGCAGGTTGGATATCATACATCTCTATGATCGATTTTGCCAGAGTAGTTGCTTTGTGTATATTGCGAAAATCAACAGAAGCTTTGGATATCAGCGCACCTATTCCATTCTGCTAGAGATTCTATGGAGTGAGCTTTAAAGCTTTCGAACACAACCACATATGTGAATAATAAGTGTCCCACGTCGGAAAAAGAGAGGGATTTGGGGCCAATATATAAGGAGGGTCAAACCTCCACTCTTAAGCTAGCTTTTGGGTGGAGTTAGGACTCAAACTATATCAGTGAATGAGGAGGAATGGAAGTTTGGATGGATCAAAAACAAGAAGATTGTGTAACGCAGTTCTTGATTGAGAGCCGAACGATTCTTCTACAAAACCGAATCTGCAATCTGCAAACTGAGGTATCTTCTGAAACAATATTCACGTGCAAAGCTCAAGCCCATCAAAACCGAATCTGCAATCTGCAAACTGAGGTATCTTCTCCTATCAGCACACCATGTTTGCCCTAAACTTTTTTTTATTTCCCCAATTCTATCTTCATTTCCAATGCAGCTGTAACCTCACCTACTGTCCTGGCTGTAACTTGTTCTGTGGCCATTTGCTAGTTTGGGACATTTAGGTTTAATCTTTCCCAGTATATCAGTCTCCTTAATCTTTATCGATATGGCAGCTGCTGAATATCAAGATTATCTGAGGAGGATGGATATCCAAGTTTCCTCTATTACATGCGGTATCTGCAACTGTCTCGGGTTGGCTCATCAGTTATTATATTGCACAACGGAGCAGCACAAGTGTCGATAGCTTTACATGTAAACTGCCCGAATCAGATGGCAGAAGTTCTTATCAAAAGCTTTACATCCGGCGACCGGCACTACTGATTCTTCTTTTTGGAATATCCTACAACCTATTCTCCATATTTTCTCGTAACATTAGTTGCTAGAGTTAGTTTTCAGTTACATGCTAATAAAATAGTTTCTACATTCTGATTATCTGCAAGCATGTTCTGTTCTTTCATTTCATTCTTTCTTGGTTTCTTCTCGGCTATGGCCAAAGATATATCTATTTCTTTTGTTGCAGCTCACCGGAATGAGAACTTAGCTGCCTCGTTGAGGTCCTTAAGCAATGATATGAGAGCGAAGGAGCCTCAATCCGAGAGGAAGCGGAAGAAAGGATCAGCGAAAAAGGAAGAAAAAGCCACCAGCGATGTGGTTCATATCAATGATACGTAGACCGGAAACCTTCAAACTCTCGGTAATGTAAAAACATATACATATATATACACACATCGGTACAACAACAACAACAACAAAAAAACCCGGAATTTTTTACGAGTTTATGATTCAGCCAAGCTGGTAAGAAACCATCCTTTCCTTTAGAATTTCCATAGATTTCGTTTCTGTATTTGACCCTCAGGCATGGTTTGTGGTCTTGAAGAAGTTGCAAGTTGGGGCCAAGTTCTAGTTTCATGAAGAGTTCTGCACATAATTCTTGTGTAATTCAGGGTTTTGATTAGGGAATCTTGTGGTCATGCAGAAATTTAGTCAAAGTGTGCCTTGGAATAGATTCCATATCTGTATGCCCAAATTGGACCCGTTGTATCTGAATCTATAGCCTAGGGGCGGTCATTTCGGTTCGTTAATTTAGTTCCGAACCGGTTCAAACCGAATAAAAAAATATTTGTTTGTAATTTGATACATTTTTTTTATAGAACCGAATTAAACCTTATAAATACCGAATCGAATTTGACAAGTACTAAACCAAATTCGAATTATCCACCGTGATATGTATAGATATTAGAGATATTGTATAATATTAATGGAGATTTCATATATGGATGGACTTTGTGTGGAATATAGATTCTCGGAATAGATAAACAATTTTTTGTATAATGTTAGGAATCTATTGAATAAAATACTATATTCATTTAATTTAAAAAGATTAGATACAACAATAATATGTGGAGGAGAAAATATTTCATGAGGGGTAGGGGCATTGGTATGGGTATGGGCATGAGCGGATATGGTTTTGTACTATGAGATCTAATATTATTAAAATAATTTAAACAATATAAATCATTTTATATAAAATGAGTAAAAATTAAACAAAAATTGATGTTAGGAATGGATAAATTATGTGATGTTTTTTTGTGTGGTTGGATTGGTGATTTGAAAAAAAAATGGATATTTATATGACACAAGATGAAATCGGAAAATAACGATATTAACATTTTTTAAAATAAAATTTTTGAAAATGATGTTAGGAATGGATAAATTATGTGGTATTTTTTTGCGGTTGGATTGGTAATTTGAAAAATGGATATTTATATGACACGAGATGAAATCGAATTTAGATTGATATATCTTAATATCTCTGTCATTACTGAATAACCCAAAATTTTAAATATTCTGATAAAAATATTGGACCTCACCCGTACCGTATGGTATGATATCACATTCTTGGGATGGACCAACATTATGAAATGGTGAACCCACGGAGAAAACCATAACCGTATGTTTGTTTATTTATTTAATTATGGGCCAAAAAAAATAATAAAAGAGAAAGAAAGTTGTTTTGGAAGCGTTATCTAAACAAGAGTATAGGCTCTGTCGTACAGGTACGCGCCCACGCGCGGTCGTGTATTGTCAGAAGAAAAGATTTTTTTAAAAATAAAAAAAAAGGACACCAAGGGCTTCCTTTCCTTTGTAGTAAGTTTTTCAGTTGCAACGAATCTTCTTTTACCTAAAGCACGATCTCGTTTCTCAATCACACAAGCTTCTCTTTTCACAAATATTTATTTTTTTTCTTTTTTTTTTAAAAAAAAAAGACAATTTCCTGTATATATAGTCGAATTTATTAGATATACCAAACTAAATATATTAGTTTAAGATTATAAAAATTTTATTTTAATACTAATTAAAAAAGACAAGCATTAAAAAAAATATCAAATAATATAATGACAGAGCGATAGAATTCAACGAATGGAAAAGAAAACGGTATAACAATTAATTGACGACGTTAATATGTCAATCGATCACCACCATATTAAAACTTATAAATCATAAAAAAGATTAGAAAAAAAAATAGCGTGCATAAGTGATGCGTATGTATATGTGTGTATATATATAATACGCATGTGTTATAAATGAAAGTGTATATATGTGTATATGTACATATATGTATATATATGTGTATGTGTGAGTGGATATATATGATCTTTTTTTGTCATTTCTTTCAAACTTTTATGATTTTCAGTTTTTAATTATGTGATAGAGTGAATGACAATGTTTCAATTCTCTAAGATAATGTGTTATCTTTTTCGTTATATGATTTTGTCAATTTATTAACGATCCTAATTTTATACATTATTTTTAGTGATCTTATGTACGTATATAACATTATTATTTTCATCTGTGCATTTCGGTCCATTTAATTCACACCTGCTTAATGTTTAATGTGTTGTGGTTAGCCAAAATATGGCTCTCCTCAATGTTTCGAATTTCTAACTCCCAATACTACGTTTTTGTCATCTACTCTTTGTTTTTTTATTTAAACTCACATTATTTAATCATGATTGAATACATATTAACTTAATTTATTATTTTATAGTCAAACAATATATATATACACACACACGCACGTGTTTAGGTTAATGTGCGTTTTCGGACTATTAATATTAATTTTTAATTATTTAAAATAAATTAAATAAAATTAATAATAATTAATATTAATGTGATGCTTATTTACTATTAAACCAAACTAATATTGTTTTTATAAAAAAAAAAATCTCCTGTTATTAGTGTTTTCGATGATGAGGAATTTTTTAAAAGAAAAAGAGTACCATTTCGGTTGGATTTAATGATAGAATTGTTCTCTTATTGGTATTTTTTTATATAAGAAACAAAAAATGAAAGTTTTGGTGTATATATTTTCTGAAAATATAAGACGAATGTCAAATTCATAATATATATATATATATATATATATATATATATTACAGATAATTTTTGAATTGAATAATAAATAGTTTGAACTCTTTTACTCATTTTTAATCATTAACTCGATGTTTGCTAATATCAAAATTCTCATATAAATATTCATTTAGAGTTAAAAACAATTATTTATATACAATATTTATTAATTTAATATCAACCCAAATTTGGATGGTATAGTGGTAAGAAAATATACAAAGCAATCCAAACGTAGAGAGAGGTATTCACCTGAGTTTTTTTGTCATTTTGGAATATGTAGTTGGGCCGAATATCCGGTGAACTTCCGAATTATCAAAAAAAATTTAATATAATATCATATTAATGAATAATTACTGAGTATTTCCAAATAATTAAAGACTAAAAGTTAGCAAGTAACATATCTCGTGATTAAAGCGTGTAGGACCGTTACAGCTCACTTACGGTTATCTTCACATTTTTTTAGGTGGATTCTAGGGAGACATTTGTGCTTACGTGGCATATTCTAAGTTGTACACGTCATTTTGTGAATTATGGAAAATTAATATAAATAGATTTAAAAAATAAATAGCAAAGAGACTTATCCAATTAGATCTATGATTGGTTGCCTTTGAGATTTGATATTATGTCATTTGATATATGATCTTTCTTTTAGTTGTGCTAAAAAGTATTGGTTTTCTATTTTTCTATTTTGTGTAAAGCAGATTGTAATGTTTTAATGATTTTTTAATTAAAAAATTTAAAATTTAATTTAATAATGCAACTTTTTATTTTTCAATTTGCGATTTCTCTGTATTCTAATAAAATTATTTCTACATTTATCGCCAACACAAAATACTTTAATACTTTTTCTAATATATGATACTAGTAGCAAACAATAGTAAATTACCATTGTACTAACATAATTAGTACTTGATCAAGTAACATATCCATAATATATATGTGATTTATTGGTTATATTCAAACATGGATAGTGGCTTGTATTTTTTTAAATCTTTTAAAAATATTTTTTTTAAAAGAAACAAACAAAGTTATATGTAGAATATAATAAATAAATAAATAAATATTAAATATATGTTATAATTAAAATTTTCTATACATATTCTATATTTGCCATTGTAGACTGATTAGACTAAATGTATACAATTAAATGCAAATACATCTTAAGACTAGTTTCGCATGTTGGACTTGTAATTTATAATGAATACGATGACTAGGAATGTAATATATTGTTATGTTCCATAGTTTGAACTCTTTTACTCATTTTTAATCATTAACTCGATGTTTGCTAATATCAAAATTCTCATATAAATATTCATTTAGAGTTAAAAACAATTATTTATATACAATATTTATTAATTTAATATCAACCCAAATTTGGATGGTATAGTGGTAAGAAAATATACAAAGCAATCCAAACGTAGAGAGAGGTATTCACCTGAGTTTTTTTGTCATTTTGGAATATGTAGTTGGGCCGAATATCCGGTGAACTTCCGAATTATCAAAAAAAATTTAATATAATATCATATTAATGAATAATTACTGAGTATTTCCAAATAATTAAAGACTAAAAGTTAGCAAGTAACATATCTCGTGATTAAAGCGTGTAGGACCGTTACAGCTCACTTACGGTTATCTTCACATTTTTTTAGGTGGATTCTAGGGAGACATTTGTGCTTACGTGGCATATTCTAAGTTGTACACGTCATTTTGTGAATTATGGAAAATTAATATAAATAGATTTAAAAAATAAATAGCAAAGAGACTTATCCAATTAGATCTATGATTGGTTGCCTTTGAGATTTGATATTATGTCATTTGATATATGATCTTTCTTTTAGTTGTGCTAAAAAGTATTGGTTTTCTATTTTTCTATTTTGTGTAAAGCAGATTGTAATGTTTTAATGATTTTTTAATTAAAAAATTTAAAATTTAATTTAATAATGCAACTTTTTATTTTTCAATTTGCGATTTCTCTGTATTCTAATAAAATTATTTCTACATTTATCGCCAACACAAAATACTTTAATACTTTTTCTAATATATGATACTAGTAGCAAACAATAGTAAATTACCATTGTACTAACATAATTAGTACTTGATCAAGTAACATATCCATAATATATATGTGATTTATTGGTTATATTCAAACATGGATAGTGGCTTGTATTTTTTTAAATCTTTTAAAAATATTTTTTTTAAAAGAAACAAACAAAGTTATATGTAGAATATAATAAATAAATAAATAAATATTAAATATATGTTATAATTAAAATTTTCTATACATATTCTATATTTGCCATTGTAGACTGATTAGACTAAATGTATACAATTAAATGCAAATACATCTTAAGACTAGTTTCGCATGTTGGACTTGTAATTTATAATGAATACGATGACTAGGAATGTAATATATTGTTATGTTCCAATTTAGTTAACTATTATAATGTTGCATTACTTCATTGTATGGGTTCAAGATCTAGTTAGAACATGATGTAGGTTTAGTTTGAATGGATTTAATTTGCTTTAATTTAATTATTTTTTCTTTTTTAAATAATACAATTTTTTGTTTTAAGTTTTTTTTCCTAAATCTCAAATAAAATTAATTTGAAATTCATACAAAATACTATTATAAAAAAAGAAAAAGAAAAAAAATAATGTTGTTCAAGTGAACATATACATAAAAATATATATAGCCATATTTACTATTATATGATTTGGCTTCAATTAGGACATATCAACATCATTGTCAGCAAACTATTCATCGACCAAAATGACAAACACCATTATATATAAACCTAATATTCATTAAATTTTCAACGAATATATTGTTCCTCCATAAAAGATCATACATATAATCATATTTAGGTGAAATAATAAAAAATAGATACGAATTTATTATCATAACATGTATTTTTTAATAAAACATCTCCATATGGTTAGGTTCTGTAGATGGTTTGATGATAAATATATACAACTCACGTTCCAAGAAAATGAGAGAAGTTGTTTCCTAGGAAAATTAAAACTCTTTGATACAAATCCAATCAATTTCAAATCTACCATATTATATATTTCAAATTTTAATATTCTTGAAATTATATCAAAATAAATTTCTAATTTAATGACTGTATTTTTTATGTTTTTTTTTGTATAGAATATTAAATTTTTTGCGCAAATAAAATAGATATTACGAAACAGATTATAAAAATGATGTGTCCTAAGAAAATGGTATGAACCATGATGAATTAGCAAGGAAAATGGGAATTGAAAGTTTTTGTGGCATTCTATATTTTATTAATAAAAATAAATTAAATTTTTAATTAGATTTAAAAATAGAATATATTTTTACAACAAAACCTATTCCAACTACATAATTTGTTCGAAACGTAACCTAGATTTTAGAATTCATTAAATTGTTTAACAACTAAGATAAATATATATATTTTTCAACGACAGCCAATAAAAAAAGAGGAGAAGCCACATCAGAATTATGTTCCAGTGCTTTTCACCTTACCGAAGAACAAAACTCAGACTCTTGACACGTGTCAACATCTGGAACGACTTTGTCCTAACTCGCTCACGCAACGCCGCATATTCATGTTTCAAAAACTTCACGCGCCTGTCGCGTGCGTTCTCTACAACCGTTAAAGGATATGATTGTAATTAAGAGGAAAAATGTGGAGTGTAATGTAATTTACGTTTTCCATTAAATAAATAGAACAAAAAAGACAGCCAATAGCGTAGCAGGATTTAGGTCCACTAATCCGAAAACATATGCATTTACACCACGTGTGTATCTCATGTTTTTTTCAGTGGTCAATAATAACTATTTTATATATATAATCAGTATTATTTAAAATTAATTATATATATATATTAAAATTAATTAATTGATTTAAATTTCAAATAAATATAATAATAATCTAAAGTTAAAATGGGAATGATTTTTAAATATGTATTTATCAAATTCAAATTAAATTAAAATTGGATATATAGAATAAAATATATATTTTTTTTAAATTTATATAAAGATTAAACATTGATTAAAGAAAGTTTTTAAATAAAATTTTAACACATTTATTTATTTCGTCATTTGTTATATATTTTAAATTATATAGAAATATTGCGAATATTATATCAAAACACATATTCTTTTTAATTATTTTTAATATTTAAAAACTCTTACTTTATATCTATTAATCTTCCCTAAAAGCTTTTGAACATTAGCTATCAAAATAACAAATAAAACGTTTCAAAATAAAAACAAATAATGACTAATTAAATATTGAAAAATCAGTTAAATGTTGTATAACGATGTTATTGAGCTTTTACATTCATATGATATATTAATTAATTTATCTATGTGTGTAACTCTATATGAATTAGATATAAATTAGGTATAGGATATTTGTATTTGAATATAAATCGGAATGAATGTTAAATTTGTTTAGTTTTTTTAATTTCCATATCTATATTAATTGTCAAGTATTTATAAATATTTAAATTTCAACTTACAATAAAAATATATTTCGTATTTTTTTTTATAAAAATATCAGATATTAATTGAAATGTAAAAATAATAAAGGTAGTTAAGTAAATTAAAAAAAATAAAAAAGTATATTTGCAATGAGTATTGTAATTATTCTTGTAATTTTGTTAAACATTAATAAATATATAATTTTTAAATAAAAATATAAAATCGTGTTCTGATTCACTGATATTACGTATGTAAAACATATTCTACAAATTTTGTCTACCAAATATCAATCAATTGGACTATTTTATAAAATTTGTAACCACGGATAACAACAGTAATAAAAATTCAATAACGACACAAATTATTGCGTTAAAACTCAATATTGCATACCATTCTATATTTCATATTTAATATAAAAAATAAACTTGCTTCTAACATTTTACACGAGAAATAATAATAATTTGATGTTACAGAAGTTTCGAGATTTAAAATTTTAAAACCAATAACACACAATGAATGGAGTGAACCTCCTAACGCTCAAATTTGAAAAAGTGATAAAACAGGGAACCAAATCGTTCTCATTTTACTCAATTTTACCATATAATTCTTATGATGACACTAAAATGGGGTTTTATAAAAAATACCCCTATTATGCTACAAAGACTTCACAGCATACCTCGCAAAAATAAATAAAAAAACTATTTCAAAACATACTTTTATAATTATGTTATTTCCAAAATATCCATTGGCGTCGGTTCCCAATGACAGAAACATTAATGAGAAGAGAGAGAGAAAAACAGTTTTCGATTTCCTAGAAAAAAATTTAAATATTTTAAAATTCCCTCCATCACAAAAAATAAATATTTTCGCGTGAATTTTAAAAATTTTCGGTGTGACCAGTGTGACTAGTGTGACCAAGTGACTAGTGTGACCAGTGTGACCAATATGACTAGTGTGACCAAAACTAAAATTTGAACGGTGTGACCAATGTGACCAATGTGACTAGTGTGACCAGTGTGACCAATGTGACTAGTGTGACCAATATGACTAGTGTGACCAAAACTAAATTTTGAACGGTGTGACCAGGGTGACTAGTGTGACCAGTGTGACCAAAATTAAATTTTAAACGGTGTAACCAGTATGGCATACATTTGTTTTCGTTGTCAATCCGTTCCATTATCGCTCCGAACATTTATTTGAAATTAAATATGCGCCTCTTGCATATTTTTCGACAGATTTGCTATGCATCTATCTCATTTTCATAAAAAAAACCATACGATTCACTGTAACAATCATAAAACTCAAACCCAAAACACAAAGTTTATGCATCGGACCAATCTCTTGTATTAATGAATTTACCTTCAATTCTTGTCATTTGTTCTGTCTTAGACCGATCAAGAAGAAGATATGAGATCGTCGGTGAAGATATGTTCAACGAAATAACCATTTTTCATTTGTTTTTCTATGTATAAAAATGAAATGAGAAGGAGAGAGAAAGTTAAGAAAGAAATGAAGAATTGTCAAAGAATGAAAACGAGAGAGATTAATTCAAAATGAAGAGAGGAGTATCACGTTACTTTTGTGGGAGGGTTAATTATGTCATTTGTTCTTTTTATTTTTTTTTTCCAAAATTTTAGGGTTTTGAAGGGTATAACATGCATTCTTTGTAGCAAAGTAAGAGTATTTTTGCTATATTGCCCACTAAAATCTAGATTTGAATATACATTAAATAGTTTTCAGTTTTTTAAAATTTATATAATTTGCACAATCTATTAGGATTTCTAATATATTACAATTACATATAAAGGTGTTCGGAATAGTTTTTCCACAACATAAAACTTTATTTTATAAATGTTTTCCTTTTTATACATGAAAAATATCTTTGACTAAAAAGAATAGTTTCGAGAGAAAGCAGCTCCAAGTCCAACCAACATTAACTGACACCGAGATGACGCCGTTAGTCATTTTCAATTAATTATTTCTCAAACTAATTTTTTTAATTGTTTTATTATCGAATTCGAATATAATTTAGAAAATAAAAAAGGGAAGGGCTTCGTGTATCGTCTGATTTTAGTTGCCTTGCCGTTTTATCCACAGCGCATTACACGTTACCCCATCCCCGCGCCCCCTCTCTCTCTCTCTCTCTCTCTCTCTCTCTCTCTCTCTCTCTCTATCTTATATTTTCCTTTCTCTGCATTTTCTTCGCAAAGCAAAAAAAAAAAAAAACAAAAAAAAAACACCAGCATCTCCATTCTCTCTCCAACAATTTGAATCCGAGCGGCCGGCGAGCAGAAACTCGCCGGAATCTTCCTTGGATCGTCGCCGGAATTCTAGTCCTAGCCGTTTTCGAGCATGCAGGACGTAGGATTAGAGAGGGAAATGGGAGGTTTTCAATTTTTGGTTTCTGTTATCCGAGTTTTGCTTTGATACTCGACGTAGATTCTGCTTTCCCCTTCTCTAACGTCGAATCAGGAGAGAGAAAGAGAGATCAGCTCTATTTCTGCTTCGTTTTGTCTTTCTCTCGCGGGAATTTTTGCTCGGATCGTCGCCGGGATCTTCATCTCCTCCGGTGCAGAGGACTGAATTAAGGGGCGAAAACAGAAAGAGAGAGAGAGAGATGTACCTTTGATCTTGTCGACTTTCCGTTTTGTTTAATATTTTCTTCTTCAGATTGATACATTATGCTGGTGATCATTAGATAGAAGAAAAAAACAAAAAGAGCGAAGAGAAGAAAAAAAAATATTCGTTCCCTGGCTGTTTCTCTCTCTCTTGTGCGGTGGAGTAATTTAGCTTGCAATGCGGGGAAAAAGATTCTAAGATCCTTTGCTGTTTCCTCGTTTTCATTCCCTAGGGATTCTCATCCCTCTGCCTCATTGGCTTCCTCTCTCCTCCTTAAATGCCGCTTGGTTCGTCTCCTGTTTATCCTGTTCTGAAGAAGAAAGAGAGAATTGAAACAAGCATGTCCTATTTCTGAAAAAGGTTAGCGCTTTTTACTCTTCCAATTTGATGTTACAGATTTAGGTTTTGTGGGTTTTCCCTTAACCTGGTCGCGAAGAATTATGGATTTTGGTGTTCTGTGGAGATAATTGCTTCGGGTGCTTGTGAAAAGGATGTTGAATTGAGCTGAAACTGAGCTCCCTAAGGTTCTTGAGATTTTTTAAGCTTGAATTGCTCCAAACGGGGTCCAAAGTTTTCTGCTTGCTTATCAATTTAATCTGTTCCCCTCTTCCTTAATTGCCTTTCGATGGGTTTGTTTATAGCAGTAAAGATTATTTAAAGCCTAACCAATTATCTGTCGGGTTCTTGGCATTATGGAGATTTGCCTGTGAAGATGGGATTTTGGCTTATGGATTCTAAATTATGGAACTTCCATTATTTGATTTTTCATACTTGGTAAGATGCTGCTGTTTTAAGTTCAATTCTTAGCTCCCTTTTGAGGTATTCTAGTTTTTTCAAGTCTTGCTTTGTGAGATACCTGGCTTACGTTTTGTCCAATGTTGTAAACATTCTGTATCTCACAGTTTTCTCTATCACAAAAGGCGCATCTGAAATTGCCCGTGTTGCTCTCTTTATATGTTTCGAGTATACAAACCTAGTGTCGTGACATTTGAACGTTTACTTCTATTGTTTTCAGGAGAAGAGTTGAAGGTGTTCACGTGACCAGCAATTCTGTTAGATAATTGATTTCGATTTCTTTGCGGGATCTTTTTGTTTCAACAATGCCTTCTCAGATAATGGATCAGAGGGGTGTTTCTGCGTCTACCCACTATTACGAAGAAATTTTCTCTTCTGCTGAGGTACTCTTGCTCTCCTGCATTCTAACCATATCTTATCAAGTTTCCATGCAGATCATGCAACATGGGTTTTGGAACTGCTTCTTGCCTCTGCGTTATTATTGAATCCCCTTCTTTCAGTTTCACCAATTTTTTTTTTGGTTGGGCAGAGACATGTTGGTTTTTGGAAGCCAAACAGTATGCCTGATAGCCTAGGTGAGAGCCGACTACTTATATTTTCTGCACCAGAAAAAGCTAGCATGTGGTTTGGTGGTGAAAATTCTGTAGTGTAACAAACTTGGTCTGAAAGTTTCCAGGGTTTACTCTATTTAATCTTTTGCACTCAATCTCAAAGAAAGGTCTGTCATAATTTCTTTCCTGGCTAAGTATCGCCTCTGCAGTTTTCAGCCTGAAAAATAGCTCAAATTGGTAAAAGTTGGTTACACTGCTCACTGCTGACATGAGTGGAATGTAGTCGAAAATGGTAAAAGAAATTAAATTGGTAAGAAATATAACGAAGATGTTAAACTATAAATGGTCTATTACATTCATACTCTTTAAAAGCAATATTGCTTAAAACTGCTATGTTGTCTTTTTTTTTTTTTTAAATGTTTCCGTTTATTTTTTTTGGAATCTGTGTACTGCTGGTGCTTATATTGTTTCATATTAGTAGCTTTATAGATTTTCCCCCCTGCCTTTCGGATTTGTCATGTAGGTAATGGTGGGATGATGTCAAGGAATGGCAGTAGGTTTGCTGGTCCAGTATCACATGAACAGTTGACATCTGATGGTGTGGTGGATAGTTTGAGATTGTCTCCATCAACTATTGTTGGAGAAAGGATGGAAAAGCCAGTAAGTGACGAAGCTGGATTTCCCAATTTGCCTAGGAATTCATGGAATTCTATGGATCTCCAACCAAACACATGGTCAAGTCTGTACTTCCGGTCAACAACTCATGGTGTGAAAGGAGATACTGATGTTCGTGGCATTGGTTCTGAAAGCAGCCTTTTCTCAAGCTCACTATCTGAACTATATAGTAGAAAATGTAAGATCTCTGATTCTCTGATATATCAAAGTCCTACATCTGTTTCTTAGTGTCTTAACCTATTTATATCCTACGGAGCGATGTTCTTGAATCTTGTTTACATCTTCCTTGTTAGTCTTCTTTATTCACCTAGGACATGTTATCTTACATACACTCCGTTATATGTTTATTGTGATGCAGTGAGACTGTCACGAAATGATCTATTGCCTCTGGAGCCTGGCAACCAAGTTGCTTCTGAAAATCAGGAAGTGGAGCCTTTTGAATCTCTGGAAGAAATTGAGGCGCAGACTATTGGAAATCTTCTTCCCGATGAAGATGATCTATTTTCTGGTGTAATTGGTGAAGCAAGAAATGCTTCTCATGCAAGTGGTGGGGATGACTTTGAAGATTTCGACTTGTTTAGCAGTGGAGGTGGCTTGGAACTAGAAGGGGATGAACAGAAAAGTGGAAGGGGCTTAAATGGTTTTCATATTGGTGATCACACTCAGAGCAAACGTTCTTCTAGAACACTTGTTGTCCGGAATATTGATAGCAGTATCGAGGATTTTGAGCTGAAGCCCCTTTTTGAGGTGTGTATCTCTTTCTTGCGTTCTTTTTGTCCGGCTACGATTTTTTTGTTTGCTTTTCTTTATGGTCTTGTGTTTTGTCCTTTATCGTTAATTGGCTCTTCTTTCAGCAATTTGGAGGGATACAAACCTTCTATACAGCCTGCAAGCATCATGGATTTGTTATGATTTCTTATTATGATATAAGAGCTGCGCAAAGTGCAATGAGATCACTTCAAAGGAATCGCTTTGGGAGACATAACCTTGACATTCATTATGCTGCTCAAAAGGTATGAAGATCGGGCTTGCATTTATGATCCCTCTTTTCCATTTGCCTCTTTATAGTTAGCCATATTATATATATATATATATATATATATGTTTGTGTGTATATATATATACACGTATGTATATATCGGTTTTTTTTTCCTTCGTCCTGAAGGAAATATACCACACCAAATTGAATCAAACCATAGAACTATTGTTAACCTGTTCAAGCTTTTCTTTTCTTCACCAATGCTTAGGAGAATTCGTCGGTAGAAGAAATTAACCAAGCAACCTTGGCAGCTTCCAACCTAGATTCCTCTGTGTCATATGACAAACTTCTTCAGATTTTTGAGGTTTTTGGAGAAGTTAAAGAGGTGACTGTCTGTTATATTAACCTCTTCTTTTACTATCTCACTCCAAACGAGTATAATTATATTATCAATGTCTGGGGTTTGCAGATTTATGAAACTGGGCAGAAGAAGTTCATAGAATTCTATGATATTAGATCTGCTGAAGCTGCATTATATTCTTTGAATGGGACTGATCTTGCTGGCAAGCAGATTAAGCTTGTGCGAGGCCAACAAGTGGATGATTTAGAAAGTTTATCTCTTGTTCATATGGGTATGTCTCGGCGCCAATAACTTGTCTTGTGATTACATATTTACATATCTAATTTCCATGTTCTTATTTCTCCTAAAAACCGCTGTTTTCAGCAACTGCTTCCCCAGGAATAATTGCTTCTAGCTTCATGGATAGTGGATCTACCAAGACCTCGCATAACCTAGCTCGATCGCCGATGAATTCATTTGCTGAACCTCATCAAAATTTTGGTGCTTCCATTAATTTGTCCTCTTCAGCAAGGATGATGCCCTTTGACAAAACAAACGGTGTTCAAGTGCTGCACCAGTCTACGAATGGGTTGAAGTTTGGCAACCGGGCTATTCCAATCATCCATCCTCACTCCTTCCCTGAATACCATGAAGGTTTCACCAATGGTAGTCCATGTAAAGCTTCAAACACGTTTATGGAAATGGCCGGAAATGGCATGAAACTAAATGGAGGATTTAAGGCTGGTGATACTGGTGCAACTTCCTCTAATGGGCACCATATTAGAGCTATCCCCAGTGGTAAGTTTATGTCAATTGAACTGCAGAAACTTTTGTAGTAAATTATGTGTTGAAAGTCAGTTTATAACAAAGATTTCTATGAATTTAACTGCTTTAACTGATAAAAAAATTTCCATTTTAGGTTTTGGATCACTGGGAAATGGGCACGTAAATAATCACATTTGGAATAATAATTCACAGGCCTGGCCTCATTCCCCATCTGGCATCAGTGGTGTTCATGCTCATCGCTTTCCACCGGTTGCTGCATTTCCCAGGAATCCTCCTATGCTTGTCAAGGTAGCTTCTCCTGTTCATCACCACATTGGATCGGCACCCACGGTAAAACCCACTCAATGGGACAGAAGGCATGCTTACTTAGCAGAATCTGCAGAAGCTTCTGGCTTTCTCCATGGATCTCCATCCCACCCCATGGACATTTCCTCTCATAACTCCTTTGCCCATGTTGCTGGAAATCGCATGGACATGTCTCCTGTAAACGTTGGACCGCGGTCTCCTCATCTCTTTTCGGGAAGGAATTCACTGATTTCGATTCCAGGTTCTTTTGATTCTCCCGTCGAACAGGGTAGGAACTTCTCTCACCGCAGAAGTGAATCGAGCTCCAACAACGCCGACAAGAAACAGTTTGAACTTGATCTTGATCGTATATTGCGTGGAGAAGACAACAGAACAACATTGATGATAAAGAACATTCCCAACAAGTAAGTTTAGTTTTCCTTCTTTCAAAACTTTCACTTGTCTTTCTCCTGGTTCTCCTGATTTACATGTGCTTATGGTTTTCATAAGGTATACTTCTAAGATGCTTCTTGCTGCAATCGACGAGCATTGTAAAGGAACTTATGATTTCATCTATTTGCCAATTGACTTCAAGGTAAGCAAACTATCCTGCAGACTGTCATTTTATTTCGTCTCGCCCCGTTTAACCCGAGGACTGAAAACCTTGTTTCTTGTTATCCCAATTCGACTTTTTTTTTAATCTGCAGAATAAATGCAATGTGGGGTACGCTTTCATCAACATGATTGATCCTCAGAAGATTGTTCCATTTCATAAGGTCTGAACCGACCGGCCCCTTTATTGTCGAGGAAGTAAATTTTATTCACCGAAATCTCCTTCAGGTCGGTCCATCCGTTAAAAAAGATACGAAAATCTCTTTCGCAGGCATTTGATGGGAAGAAGTGGGAGAAATTCAACAGCGAGAAGGTAGCTTCTCTTGCGTATGCTCGGATTCAAGGAAAAGCAGCTCTTATTGCACATTTCCAGAACTCGAGCTTGATGAACGAAGACAAGCGTTGCCGCCCAATCCTCTTCCATACCGATGGCCCTAACGCTGGTGATCAGGTAAATACATTTTATGCAATCCCCTATGACTTGTGAGTTTTTTTTTTACTCACAACAGGTTCTAGAAGATGGTAACTTCCGTTCAGATTTATATTGCATGGAATCCGTCATATTTTCTCTGTAAAATATCACAGGAGCCTTTCCCGTTGGGGGCTAACGTGCGTTCAAGGTCGGGAAAGTCACGTACCATTAGTTACGAGGAAAGCTGCAGCAATGGCAGCTCTTCTCTTCACTCCTCTTCAGCAAACAACAAACCCAACCCTTCACATGGCGATGATTCCACCGTTCCGAAGGACTCTTAACTTGTAAAAAGAAAAAAACTCCATCCGCTTCATCCGTGACGCCGACTAACCGTATGGAAACCGGCAAGAGAGGAGAGGAAGAGAAGAGGAGAGGGGAAAGGGCTTCCTCAACATCAGTTCTTTCTTTCTTTCGCTTCTTTTTTTTCCGTTCTTTCAGATTCTTGGCATGAGATTTTTTGTGTTCATTGTGAGGATTCCGGTGTACAGAAAAGTTTCTCCGGCCTCGGAAAATTGATCGATAGCTCGAATCGGATCGGATCGGCACATTATGTAATCTTCTCTTCTCTCCTCTCTTACCGTTGTTTCTGTTGTGTCTCGGGACATTGTCTGTATCTGTCCCCTAAATGGGAAAAGGCTCCAAGTGGTTTTTGTGTTCCTTTAGGGATTGGCATTATATTTCGGATTGGATTGGATGTATGAAACTGAATTGAAACCAATAATATTAAATTAAATTAACTGAAATTAAAGTAAATATAAAAGTAATTAAAAAGTAGAAGGAATTTATGTTTTAAAATTACTATTTTCATTAATAAAAGTCGAATATAAAACAGAATCTCACTCAAAACTGAAATGTCTACTTGTACAAACTATACTAAATTATTGTGGAAAATATAAAAGACCGTTGTGGAAAATATGACATTTTTTCCATTATTATAACAACAATAATAATAATAATAATAATAATTATTATTATTATTATATTTATTATTATTATTAATAATAAATCTGTCATTAATTTATATTTTACAATATGAGAGAACCTTTCTTATTGTCATATTAAAAGCATGAACATTTTTTTCCTATTTACTAAAAACGGAAAAATAAGTAATTTCAAAAGTTGTTCTCTCTCTCTCCCCACAAGGGAAGAAAACCAAAGAGGCTGGAAGGGCGCAACCTCGTTGGATCAGCGAACATCCCTCGACAATGTTCTGATCAAAACCCATTTCGCATGAACACCAAACAAATCCTACTCTGTGGAATTCGATGATCTGATCATTAATCCAAACGAGTAAGATCACGGAGCCAGAGAGAGAGAGAGAGAGAGAGAGAGAGAGAGAGAGAGAGAGAGAGAGAGAGAAGAAACCGGTTTAGATGTAGATGAATGAAGCTTAAAGGTAAGAAAGGGAGACACATATGGTGGCGGCTTATATAGGGAGAGAGAGAGAGGAAAGATTAATGCCCTACTTTATCGAATATATTATAGATAGTATAATTCCCCAAGTGTTCTCTTTAGCTTTTTTTTTAAAAAAAAAACTTCAGCCCTATTAATCCCCTCTACCCTATTAATTCCGAATTCCGGATCAGAGTCAGCAATTCTTATACCCGAAATGAGCGGGATACAAGCGAAGAACCCTAAGAAACCGAAAGTAGAAGCAGAAGAAGAAGACGAAGCTAACGTCTCTTGCAGAGAAGAGCAGGAAGAAGCCCTTGTCGCTTTGGTCGAACACCGAGCCGATGAAGTCGAGCGTATCAAGCAGCGTATATCCGATTACGAAACCAAGGTTTGCTTTTCATTTCTAGATCCATCTTCGAACGTTCCGATCATTCTCCTCAGTTTTGTTTGATGGGTGATCTCTCTCCGGTCTCGTTTCCTCCAAATTTCCTTCCTTTTCTAGGTTTCTGAGGGTCTCCACAGTATATGTCCGAATTCTCCTTGTTTTGCTTTTCGTTTATTAATTTCGCATTACTGATCAGATTTCGTGCTCTAACTCGTCTGATATTTTGTTCCTGAGTTGGGGACATAGTTATTTTCTGGTCTCTTAGTTTAGTTCATATGTATGTTGTTGTTTTTTATGGTTGTCTCTACTGAAGTTGTCAATGATTTGGCAGTTCTCGTGAGATACTAATCAGTATAATTCATGTCGTTTTCTTCACTGGCTGTAGATTTTGTTGCCATTTCACATCACTGTGTTTAGTGCTCAAAGGAGGTGTTTATCATGCTTTTGTGTGTTTAAATAATAAATGCTTATCCTCTTATAACTGAAATTTCGTTAAAACAACCGGAGATGCCTAATTTAAGTAGGAACTCTTGAACTGGTATTAGAGGCATGTTTCATTAAGATTTCCTGATTTTCTTTACTTTTCTTATGTTTACGTCATTAAGTGGAAATGAACGGAATGCAGCTTATTGAAGCGGAAAGGAGTTTGCGAGATGCGAAAGCCAAATTAGCCTGCCTTCGTGGTGAAGATGAGGCTAATGAAACCAAGATTGCAAACGGGGAAAGACGGTCGAAGATTCTGAGAAATGCGAGTGAAGGGTCTATGACAAGCCCTACTCAGTCTAACAAAGAGCGTGCTGCAGTACCCAACAAGAATGTAAGACCCTGCAATAGCTCTCATACCCAGGGCAGTAACTCTAAGCACATAGCTGCTGCAAAGCAAAAAATAGCAAAGTCTCATGATGGCCATGCCGTAGAAGCTAGTGGAGGTCGAGATAGAGGGACGAAAAGGAAGATTGGTAATTCTTGACCGTGTTCTTGTCTACTTAATTTTGAATTTTCTGTCATGCATGATTGATTCCTGTGTCATATTCTAGAGCAAAAGGAACACAAAGAAGTGATTCGGTTTATAGGTAGAAACTCTTCACCAACCACCATCAAGTGCCATACTAGCAACCAAATCTCCAGTCAGCACAAGAGGAAATTAAGAAGCCTAATTCTGTGTCCGGTAAATGATCAGCTCTTTGCAACAAGGTACCGGTTCATTTGTCTTTTGAGAGTTTTGTGATGATAGATGATGTTCGAGGGTTTTGAATATTAGCTTACCATTTCATTTGTGATGAAATTCCGGATCTAATCTAATCTTTGCGGTCTATTTCTTGTACCATTAGTTCTCTGGATGGTATGGTGAACTTGTGGCAACTGCAGCCTGGGAGGTGAGTGTTTCCTTCTTTGGTGTTTGGCTGTTTCGACTGTCAAATTTGATTGTGTTGGAAACAAATTGCTCTTTTGTTTTGTTTTTTGGAAGCAACGTATGATTCAGCGGATTCTATGATATTAGTTTGAAAATTTCCCTGCTAATTAGTGTTTTGAAATAAACTAAGTTTTTTGTGCTTCATGAAATGAATGATTTTTAGAAACTCCTTATTAGGGTTTACTGTTCATGTCGATACCCACCCTTAGGTTGGATCAAGATGGAATAGAAGCATATGTATACACACTGATCTGTTTCACGTATGAAACTCAAACCCGGACCCTCTTTCAACTTTGTTGTCACAGCTTGATACATTTGTCATATTTAATGATGAAACAACAGAGGAAGAACCTTATCAATAAGATTGATGACTTGGTCACTCTGTTTAACACTGGAATCATTGAAACAGATGTCTCACTTTATTTTGTGTGGATAGAAGTTTTATATCTAGGGATTGATTATATGGTTAAATTGGCCTTTTTGTTGGCACATTAGGGTTTCCCATACCTTGATGAAAAGTTCTGGATTTCTTACCTTGATAATAGTTCTTTGAAAATATTCTTTTTAATAAAGGTGGTCAGGTTAGAATCAAGAAATTCATTCTATCGCACAAAAATATCTAATATTAAGTCGTTTAACGATTCAACTTAAAGAGTTAAATTATTTGAAAGCTAACATATACAATTTTTTTGGGTTCTGAAAACATGAAATAGTAAAAAAGCTCATTGAAGTCTCTTTCATGAATATGTTACACAAAATTTGCACGTACTTAACTATACGTTATGTTAATAAAATTTTTGTTTCAGAAGTTCTTTTTGACTTGCTGATGTGTAATCCTTCGGCTTTCTCTAGGATTCCTCTCCCCCCCCCCCCCAAAAAAAAAGGAAAGGTGCCGCATTTATAGATTCGAAAAAACGAAATAAGAATCTGATTGAATCAGAATGAGTTAGGATTACCTCTCTGAGCTCGTGGCTTTCCATGTAAAGATTCTATCCTTTGATATCTTTGGGTTTTTTTGCTCGGTCCACTTGATTGCAGGTTGGCTGCATCTTTGCTTAGTACTGCAGATTGCTTGTCCCCGAAACAGAGAAGATGGGCAGAAGATATGGCATGGCATCCATCTGGGGATAGAATTTTCTCGGTATATACAGCTGATGATGGAGACTCTCAGATATCGGTCCTGAATCTGAACAAGACACATGGGGTAAATGTTAAGGCATAAATTTGTCATTCTAGCATGCATATGCAGCATATGTAGTTAAGATTAATGGACATTTTTTCTAGTATATATTTTATCATCTAGGGTTTTGAAAATGCATAAATTTGTCTTTTTCTGTCGGTATGCTAGAGTTCAAGAGTAACTTTCTTGGAGAACAAGCCTCATGTAAAAGGAATTATCAACAACATAGTGTTCATGCCATGGGAAAATACAACCTTTGTCACGGGGGGAAGTGATCACGCTGTTGTTATGTGGAATGAGAGTGATGAAGAAAACAAATGGAAGACGAGATCCTTACATAGGAACCTTCATTCTGCTGCTGTAATGGGAGTAGCTGGGATGAGGCATAAACATGTTGTGTTATCTGTTGGGGCAGACAAGAGAATATACGGGTTCGATGTTCAAGTTGGAAGAGCAGATTACAAACATCAGATCGAGTATAAATGCATGAGCGTCCTCCCGAACCCTAGCGATTTTAATCTTTTCATGGTTCAATCCGGGTAAGACCTATAATCTTTCTATACATTTCTTTTCATAATTAGTAACATCAACTCTTTCAAAGATTCATCATCCTTCCCTTTGATCTATTAGAACTGGTTTTTGAACATCAGTTGCTATAGAAATGGAAAGTTGAAGTCTTTAAAAGGACATAGAAACTGCAAAGGCTGTGTTCATGGCCTTGATTGCTTTGATTCGAGAATGTCGTTGCTTATTGAATAAAAGCATTACCGAGACAGTAAAATATTTTCCTTTTTTATTATGCCATTTCACTAGAAGAATCTCTCGAAATGTATAATGCAGGGAACCCGAGAAGCAGCTGCGACTGTTTGATATAAGGTTAAGGCAAACCGAACTCCATTATTTTGGGTGGAAGCAGGATAGCAGCGAGTCACAGTCAGCTTTGATAAACCAATCTTGGTCTCCAGATGGTCTATGCATCACATCTGGTTCAGCCGACCCCGTCATCCACTTTTTTGACATCAGGTACTTCTTACACACCGAACTGAGTTATTTCCCGTTACGTGTAAGACCCTTGACTCCACGGGTCGATTACCGAACTACCCTTTCATGAGTGCCTAAAAAACAACACTTCATATCGGACGATATCAATATCGTTCTATTGCCTGTTTAAACGGAAGAAAATGTGACTAGAAGAGGGATACCATATCATCCTAGGAATGTTGAATCTGTTAATGTCCAGTAACTTTTACTTGTTAAGTGATTTATAACGTTTTGAATCCCATATAGTTGTTTTTGTAGATGTCTAAACAGTAGCTCCCCATATAAAACAAAAGGAAGAACCTTGTATTTATGATGAATAAATCACCACAATGGGTCTTAAACGCTACGAAGTTTAGAAATCTCTGTAGCCGGCTTATCAATTTGTACTGGCGTGGTTCAATTGGTAAATCCCCTTAAGGACTTACCATAAAGATTTCTGAACTTGACAGCGTTTAAGATCTTCCAAGTGTTTTCGGCTTTCTATTCATAATGCAAAGCTCTTCTTTTATAGGGAGATCTGTTGTCTCTATACATTTACAAAAGCAACCATGTGGGGATTCAAATATTATAAATTGCCAACAGGCTCTAGGGTCCAAGTCCACTTATTTATCTCCTTACTTCCCTAACCCCAATAAAAAATAAACAAGTAACAAAGGTCCAAAACCATCATCAACAACGCATTAGCCCTAAGTTTATTTGGCGTTGGCCATATGAATTCTCTTACTCTATTTAAAGGTCCAAAGTAATAAATCCCGATAATTTAAGAGCCTATCAGAATGATAATATGATCTTGACAGTTTCCATTGCTCGCTTGCCCGAGTTATAACATGCGATGTAACCCCGCAGGTACAACGGGCATAAGCCATCTCAATCTATAAAGGCGCATCAGAAGCGGGTTTTCAAGGCCGAATGGCATTACTCTCAGCCACTTCTCATCTCCATATCTTCCGACCTTAACCTCGGCCTCCACAAGATCTCTTGAAAGTGTTTTTTTTTTCAGCTCAGAAGCTCTTGTTCTCCCCATTGCTCTTCCATGGAGAGATGTGAAGGTTCTAGTCAAAGTAAAACACATATTAGCCCTCTCTTTAAGGAATGTTAAATATTCATATTGATTATTCAAAACATTTGTTAAATGACGAGCAGTTCCAAATAGTGCATGCGTTCTTCTTCACACATTCTCTGATCTTCTTATCCGTTCTTGCAAAAGATGTTCTGCTTTCTATATCTGTATTGGGCTGAAAATAGGCTGACAGTTGAATTGAGGAAGTTTTTTCGGTTTTATGCATCTCTTTGAAGAACTAAATTGAACCGACTTCAATCAAAACCCATCTAAACCGGTTTTATACTCTAATAAACCGGTTGTATGTATGAATGTATTTGTTATATTTAAGTTAGACAGAATGAACGGTGTATACAAATTGTACTATGAAAGGACTACATGTAAAGCACACAACACAAAAGGATAATCCAAGAAGAAGAAGAGGATTGCTTCTTCTTCTTCTCAAACATGAAACTAAATAAACACTGGCATTCAGAAGATCTTTGGCAGAGGCAGGCATGACTATTTATGTTCATAGACCCGGAAAAAACCCCGAGCTTTTATTAGAAATTAATCTCACGTCTCTCAGCGAAAAACTTGCCAGTTATAGCTTGGTCAGGGAGCAACACGAGCCAAACTCCGGTATCAGCTCCGTCTTCTGCTGAAATATGCCCTGCATAACCCGTCATCGCTGTTTTCACCCAACCAGGGCAGAAGCAGTTCACGTAAATCTTCTCGCCTTCTGGTCGCTCCAACAGTTCCTTTGCCAGTACCCTTGTGTATGCATTTACTGCCATTTTCGAGACAGCGTAGTCTGTGAAGGAGTGCGGCCATCCACCCGATTCCCATGTTCCATCTTCCACTTGCTTCAGAAAATCTGACACGAGTTTGTCTATGGCTTCCTCCGTGAGAGAGTCGATGCTGTTTAGCATCGCTCTCACTGCATCGTTTTCAAGTTTCTGTAAAGAGAATCCCGATGAATTTTCATTAAGTTTCGTGAAAAACCTTTCCCTGAAACACCAGAGCTGACTTGAGGGTTGTGAATTAGATTTCCATACAAGTAATACCGAGGGAAAGAAACGGAGAAAGATCTACTTACGCTATGTCGGCCATTTAATCTTCCCAACCTTGACGTCACATTGACTATACGAGCACCAGGGGCACTCGGTCTCATCAACGGAAGCATAGCCTTAATTATGTTCTTGGTGCCATAGTAGTTGGTAGATATAACCATCTCCGCATGTCCAACCGAGTTATCTGATCCGACGTTGTAGTTTACTCCCGCATTGTTTATCTGCAACGGTCTCCAGATAAACCATCAAAGAGCAAGAAATGGCATAATGATAAACGTCATTAAGAGAAAGCCTCGAGCATCTCATGCAATTCAACCAGACGAAATGGAGATATTTGAAAATCTTTCAAACCAAACAAGTTTTTACCAGTTTGCACTGGAAAAAGAGTGTTAGAAGATGGGGCACACTTACAAGAACATCCACACCTCCATATTTCTCAGTAATCCATTGGCAAAACTCCTCGATTGATGAAGGGTCCAAGATATCCAGCTGGTGGACATCCACATTAAAGCCGCCTTCTTGCAGGACCTTGGCTGCTTCAAGGCCTACACCGTCGTCTCTGGATGTTAGAATAACTGTCAGACCATGGCCGGCTAGTTGTCTCACCATTTCAAAACCTATCCCTCTATTCGCCCCCGTTACCACAGCCACGGTTTCAGAGGTCCACCATCTACACAATATACACACGGGAGAGAAAATCAATGTTTGTATTTCGGAATCTAGACATCAATATAGGAAAATCACGATGCTTCATTCTAACATTACCGAATCTATGAGCTTCCATTGTTTCAGAGGCAATCGAATCTTTCCTAAACCACATCAGAACAACAATATATATTCTTCCTAAAACTGTTCATGATTTCATAGGAAGTACAAATAAGGAAATCAAAAGTACTCCGAAAATATGTAAGATCAACGTGTAAATTTCTCCTCCTTTGCAGGACTAATCAAATGAAGCAAAGCCAGTTCTTAATCCGATAAAAAAAAAGACATGATCATTCAAACGATCACAAAATTTATCCTGGAACACGATTATTCATGAAGCCGATCACGTTCAGAATCCCTGAAGAAACTCAAGGAGAAATCAATAACCTCTGGTGATCGGAGTAGGGAATCGTACGAAGGAGCGAGAACTCTTGGAGCCTCTTCTCTCGTTTCTCTCTCGATTTCTCTCTGCTTCCCACCATCTTCTTCTTTCCCCAACTTTTCTTTGCCCGAGGATTCTAGGTTTTCTTTTTCCCAGAAAATCAAAAGACTTGGGAAATCAGATCCGAATTCCGACCGCAGAAGGAGATTGCATTACGTGTACGTACCTCCCTTGTGTACGGACACGGAGTTTGTCGCCGTCGTCGTCTCCTCCTCACAGATATGCCCCATGGTTTCAGGTCAAAGGCAACCCCCGATCTTCGCGCGCATTTCTACGGTCTAAAATCTCAACCGTTTCAAGTATATGCATAGAGGAAAAGGAAAATGTGATAAAAACAAATGAATTCCAGAAAATTATGAGAAAAATAAATAAATTTATAATTACTAAATTAATATTAAAAAAAATCAAATTCCTAAATTAAATCACGAATATATATGTAAAATTGATATCAATATTATTTCAGACCACTTCAGAAGAAAAAAAGAAGCAAAAACTGTCATAAAAAATAAATAAAAACACATGTATATACACACATATTTGCACAATTACACACATTTGTGTATCGGCTTTCGTCTCCCCAATTTTTCCATCACAAAAGAAGCATTTCCGTTGCTTCCTCGAGTTCAATTCTTTCGGTTTAGATAGTGATTAGGCGGGATCGGTTCGGTTTAAGTACAGATTCGATCGGTTCGGTTCTGTTCTATTGGTTTTATTAAACCACCTCAAAAATTCAACAAATCTGTTGGTAAACCGGAGAGGCCTAGAAAGGGCCACGACATATGGAAAAAGCACATGTGGGGCCCATAATTTCATTAAATTTCTCAACTTTCCCCAGCGAATGAGGATCTCTTCTCTTGTATTCCCCTGCGAGGAGAAAAATGACAAGCCGACGAGCCCTCATCAACGCCCACCGGATCATCCGCTCCGCCGCCGCAACTCGCCGGAGCTCTGCCGTTCCCACCACTGCATCCAGAGTTTATCCTCTTTTCAGGTGACCTCTCTATGGCCTTGTATTTTTTTTTGGATGAAATTGATGATGTTACGTTAGGTGTCTCACGTCTCCCCCTCTTTTTGTCTTTCAAGGGCTGGAAATGATTTGGGGTCGAGGTTTTTCTGCGGGAACACCGGGAATCCGCAGAATTTTGACATCGATCTATCCAACGACGAGAGCAGGAGGCGGCTGTTCAACAGGTATGAATGGAAATGTTAGAATTGAGGGATTCGATGTTGTTTGGGGGGGGGGGGGGGGG